GAGCAACACCAGAAGAAAGCAGTGGCAGGGAGTGAATACAGATCTAAGATGTGCAGTAAATCAACTGGGCAGTGACTGAAGTTGGATTTATGACTCAGTCTGAACAAATTACAGAAAATGAAGCCCAAGGGCATGCTAGAGATTTCAGCTCCTGAGAAGCTGGATATGTATTCCACTACCGCCCAGCAAAAATTAATATGATGAAGATCTAGCCCTCCATATGATGGTATTAGGAGGCAAGTCTTGAGAGGTAATTAGAAGAGGTCCAGAGGAATGGGCCCTTATGATAGCATTTGTGCCCTTAGAAGTACAGAAAGAGATCGGAGCTTGCTCACTCTTTGTCTGGCTACCACATGAAACAGAAAAATTGTAGCAAATTCCAAAGCCAAGAAAAGAACTTTCACTGGAAATCAAGTTTGTCAGCACCTTTGTCATGAACTTCCAGCCTTCAGAATGATGAGAAATGAGTATCCATTGTCCAAGCCACCCAGCTCATGGCCTTTTGTTATAGCAGCTCTAGCTGACCAAGATACTGGGCATCATAGATGGGGCAATCAAAGGACCCCACTGTAGTCATCTATGATTTGGGTTAGAATCAAGTGAAATCTCCTAAGCATGACAATAATGTCACTCTTGACCTTAAACACAAATCCTAAATAACCTCTAACCCTAACATCTTTACTAATTTGTAGGCTAGTCTTCAGGATTTTTAAAAGTACAATTGGAGGCCCACAGACTTAAAAAAAGACCAACTTAAAAAGTTAAAATCAATCAACCCAAAATAAATGACACATGCAAATGACCATCTCCTGAGATGACCTTTTACTGTGACTGTTGGGGCTAAAATGTATTAAGCCTCACTTTAGACACAGGATAGACTATAAGGAAGACAAGATAAGGAAAATAAAAGGAGGGTGAGTTAAAAATAGTGGCAAAGAAAATCATTGTTATTTGAAAATGATATGACTGTCTAACTGGAAATCGGGGGAAAAATACTGAAAAGTGATCATATTCTATGTCATTCAGTAAGATGAATAGTTACAGGATTAAATATATAGAAATTGGTAGTTCTCTTAGATGACAGCAAAATTATCTAGAGAGTGCTTTGGGAAAAGACTACTTAAAAGGATAACAAAAACTATAAAGTACCTAGAATCAGAACAAAAAGAAATGTGCAAGGCCTATATGAAGAAAACTAAAACTATTGAAAGACATAAAATGCTATAAAGATAATAATAGGAAGACATTAATTCTTCCTCACTAAACCTAACTTTATTTATACATCAGATGTAATTCTGCTGGCCTGTGACGTTCTATTCTTTTCTTAGATGTCTAGGAAGCTCTATTTTTAGACATCTGTGAGACCTGAATAAGTCTCTCTGTTTTTAGCCAGCATGAGTGGGTTTCTGTTCATTGCAACCAAATGACTAACTCAACTTCAGCTACCCTTATAGCTCTCATGGGTCCATGTATCTGTGTCTCAAATTCTCTCCTTCGTCCTCCTGAATCTCTCTCCAAATGGGCTTTTACAGCTTCGTAGGAAGAAATAAGAAAGCTTTTTAAAAAGCTTTGCTATAACTGTAAGCTATACTACACTAGTTTGGGGGCCCATTCCACATCTACTTCCCCTTAACTGACTCAATTCCCATGCCTATTAGCTCAGACTCCCAAGAAAGTATTCTTTCAAGTGCCCACCACTGATCCAGAAGCCACAGTCAAATGAAGCAAAGCCCCATGGTTTGGGTTGAATCAGGAGAAGGGTATTATAAAAGAAGACCATCACTGACCCTTTACCACAGTGGTTCATCAATAATAACAGCTTCTATTTACTGGACAACCACACTAAGCCATGTAGGCACTCATGTATTTTACCTCATTTTAACTTTCTCCCAATCACCTGTCCAAGTAGATTTTATCATCACTTTGATTCTAAGGAAGCAAGCTTTTTGAGGTAAGTAACTTCTCTGCAGTTACTTGGCGGACCTATGAGTCAAAGATGAATCCAGTTCCAGGTCTCAAGTGCTTGGAGTCTCATCTCCTGACGTCACCAAGTGCAAGTAGCAGAGCCACCTCCTCTAGCCTGGAGTGTCCTATTAAATACAGCATCTGGGGAACCAGCAGTTAGCGTAATGGCTATGTCGCTGGACTCCCACGTAGTCGACCGCGGTTCGTGTCCCGGACCTGGTGGCTTAAAACTCACGCCGGGCGCGTGTGCGTGCGTGCCCAAGATCCCGAGAGGAGAATGGAGGAGAAGGGATTGCGGCGTGACCATCCCCCCTGGGGGGTGATTTCTCGCTTTCTGTCTCTATGTCTCTCTCTGTCTGTCTGGCAAGCGCACGCGCCCTACAGTGAAAATCTCTCCAAAAAAAAAAATAACTAAAAATAAATAAATAAATAAAAAATATAGCATCTGGGACCACAAAGCTAAGCACCTTCTCAAGGTCCTTGGTCAGAAATTTCTCTGCCAGCCACCTCATACACCTAGGAATTCCCATCATCTTTCAATTTCTAGGGAGGGCCTGAATTATTCTCCAGGTTCTCTGTGCAGACACAGCAGCATCCCCTAGCCCTCCTCATTCTGGCCATCTGTTTATCTGAGTTAGCACCTTGGCAAGGAACTGCCCTGCTTATAACCACAGCATCAAGCCCATACCCACAGCAGGAGTTAATAACTGAGTGAAGTGAAATTGAGTTAGGGATACTGCAGTCTGCTGACATCTGTTCCTACCTCCTCTTCAGGATGGACACTGCAACCCACAGGAAGGGAGAGGCCATGAGGAGTCTTTAGCCATAAAGCACTTCACTGTTTGGCTTTATGAGGACACAGACTCAAAATATCCAATTCCCATTCTGAGGGGTCCACACGTGGAACCTCACCATTCCTGTTAGCTGGACTAACAATTAGGTCCTATTGAATCCACCTGGGAAGTATGAAATTAAATTTGTCCCTGTGGCTTGAAGAAAACCAGTTATGTGACAGGGGCAAGAGAGCCATATCATAATCGCTCATGGGGTCTCTCCAAATTTCACACCTTCACTCACCAAACCCTCATGTTTCTGACCCAGGAGGTCATTCTAAGGAGCACTCACACCCTCTTGAGAAACTTGGAGAAGTACCTTAGTAGAATTTCTGATTTGTATGGAGAGTTCCCTCAGGAGGGGGCATCCAGAGGGTCAGAGCAGAGTATACTCAACAAGGAGAGATCCTCATTTCCTTTAGATGAAAAACTGAGAGGATAAGAAAACAAAGGGTATTCAGGGAAGACAAAAAATTAATCTATAATAAAATGTAAAGCATTCACCTGTAAATAAATGCAAGCGTTTGTTTCATTCCTAGCTTGCTTTACTTTGAGAGTCTTGGAATTAGAAAGGAGAATACATTATGATCCACCTCATAATGTATTAGAAAGGAGAATACATTATGATCCACTGACCCAGGAAGCTTTACCTCAAGTGTCTCTCAGCCCACGTCTTCTCTTCAGTAGGGACCACACCATTAGGAACCTCTCAGAGCCCTCACTGCTTGTCAGTGCAAAGGGATCCTATTTCGCTCCCCACTGAATAGAAATCAATCAGAGAAACCCAGGAGTTGTTGCTGTCCCTAACAGCCAAGGGAGTTGCCTGGCAGGAGGGATTTTCTTACACAGGACAATAAGCACATTTCCAGAAGACTTTTTCTAGATAGCAAATCTCCCAAGAATGCCAGCCTTCATCTACGCCTTTGTGACATAAGTGGAACTCTGTCAAAGGAACAGTGTTGCCTCTGCCTACCAGTCCTTACCCTGCCCATGTCTCACTCCCACCCTGCTTTTCACCTGCATCCCTAGGCACATACATGTACACACACATGCATGTACACACTGATACCATTCCTCCCTCTTTTTCCAACATTCTATTTTGAAGAATTATTTTATTTAACTTTATTTATTTATTTTATTTATTTGCTTATTTTAATTTGACTAGAGAGGATAGAGTGAGAGAGAAAGAGAAAATGAGAAAGCAAGCCACCAGGTCTAGGACTCAAATTGTAGTTGGCCATGTGGGAGTCCAGTGCCCTTCACTACCATTCCACCTGTTGGCCCCTACCAGTCTTTACTTTTCATCTTTATCTTTGTTAAGGAGCTGGGAAAGGAAAGAAGTGTAGGCCACAATGTTCTCAATGCTGTCATGAGGCATCTTAGGAGGTTGACGATCAGATACAGCTTCCCCGTTAGATTTTCATGAGACAAAGATCAAATAAATAACAGTTACACATGATTTGGGGGATGGAAGCTCCTGCCATCCACAGCCCCAAAGCAGGCACATACACAAAAAAGCTGAATCTTGACTCTGTGGAGCGGTCCTCTCCACATAGCAGACCTCTCCTCATTGCCTGTGGAACCACTTTCAAGTGTGCAAAGCAATTTACCTGTGAGGTCTGCAAGAGAGGAAAGGGGATGGGAGAGAAGCCAGATGGCTTCTAAATTGCTGTTTGTGATAAATAACTCTGACAGGTAGCAAATCACAGTATGGAGTACAGAAGAGGTGGGGAGACTGAAAAACATGCCTGCCTCCTGGAGCTGTGCAGGTGCAGAGAGAATGCAGGTGAGCAGCAGAATGGCCATCAACAGTGTGGGGTGTCCCCTTGGGAGATTCACAGTGTGCCTACAGATTGAATCTGGGTGATGCTCCAAACAGAAATGCATTACTCTCCCCCACTATTGTTCTCCTGGTTGAGTCATAATTCCCCAATGAGACTTCTGAATCTTTGGCACCTCAGGATATAGAACTCTGTTACCATCATAAGAAAAAAGGATACTGCCATTGCCCATGGCAGTTAGAACTCTCCAATGAGACAGGCGCAGCTGAGATTGGCTCCCTCTTTCTCAGCACAAAAGCTCCTAACAGAAGGCACTGTGTTATATCTCTAACTCTTAAGAGAAGAAAACAGACATCTGGCTTGCAGTCACCCCTAACTTTCTAGACAAATATAAAGTGAAAGACAAAGGCAGACACTTGAATTACTCATCTTAACTCCATTTTATTACAACATCAAGGAAAATAGTTGCAGGAGGAATGATAATGGAGATAAACAGAGATAAAGCTACTCACAATTTCATTGCCTACACCTTCCTACGAGGGTATAAATAGCACAGGTATAAATAGTACATGCATTTTAGGTTTGCTGTGCATGTGTGGATTGTGTGTACATGACTTTTCTCTAGGGTGTTGTTCTCTTAATTTCTTGACAGATGATGGTTGAATTCGGTGTCTTCAGGTATACCTTAGGAAGGGATTCTCCCACTAAGACTGAGAGCCAGCCTTTTTCTTCTGGAATTTTCTGAACTGAGACTGAATGGCCACCGCTGCACGTTCTGTCTCTGGTGCATCCATGTCGATGTCAAATTCTTCTTGAACTTTCTTCTGCCCATCTGTAGCAAGAAAACAGAAACAAGGCAATCACTGAGCTGAGAATGGGAAAGCAGACAGCAGCACTGGAAACGCGAAGCCAGGCATCCCATCAAGTGGCACATACTGAGCTCCATCACCACCCTCAAAACAAGACCTTGTTTACAAAGTAAAATCCAGGGGAGCATCTTTGAGTTCAGAATCCACTGTCTTTTGTTTGCCTGAACCTTATGCCGCAAAGAACGATGGAACTCAAGGACACAGTCTCAACACTTCACATATTTTCATTTTTTAAAAAAATCTTTATTCATGATAGAACACATGCACACACACACACATGAGAATTAAAGAGAGAGAGAGAGATGAGCACTCTCTACAGAATCTGGTCACACTGCAATCCCCTTCCGTCAGCCCTGCAGCCCGTTGGATCTTGGGTGCTTGTGCAAGTGCCCAGGATGCTTCAGACTGACAAGGCTGGGGGTTCGAACTGTGGTCACCAGGTGGCATCTAGCTTCCCCTGAGCAGTGCATTACTGGTGCACCATGGAACTGGCTCCTTCACATATTTTCTCTACATGATTTTCTGTTCCTAATGACATAGTTTACATATATTGAGTTGTCTAGAAAATCATGACTCATTTTTACATAGAAAAATACTTCATGACTTTTCTGATGACCTAATATTTTTCTTTTTAATATTAGCTATGCCATTAGTCTCCCTTCGTGTCTTTTTTTTTTTTTTGGGGGGGGGGGTTTTTGCTATAGGGCACGGAGAAAGAGAGAGACAGAGAGACAGAAAGTGAGAAATCACCCCCCAGGGATAATGGCCATACCGCAATCCCTTCTCCTCCATTCTCCTCTTCAGATCTTGGGTATGCATGCACACACACACCCAGCCTGAGTTTAAGCCACCGGGTCCGGGACTTGAACCACGGTTGACTACATGGGAGTTCAGTGACATAGTCATTACGCTAACTGCTGATCTCTCTCTTCATGTCTTATGTAGGTACGATTTAAATATTGCTACAGGTATTGCTCCAGTGGAAGCTGATGATATTCACAATAGCCAGAGGTAATAAATTGAGTTTCTGTGTATACTTTCACTGTCAATGAGATTTACTAATTGTATTCAGGGCTTCAGATTTTATCATTGTCATGACTGAATGGCACTACTTGGCCTTCAAAGTTAGACTGAGCTTCCACAAGTCCTACCTTTTGTTCCCATTAAGTAAGGTTAGCAATTCATTTGCTAAGGCAGAAGTGTTTCACCAATTCACTCTGTAATGCTCATTTTAAACAGGATACATGCCAGAGCTGAGTGTAGCCTAGAGGTGATGGCCTCTTTGTGCTGTGTGCCTTGCTGAGCAGTGACTAACTTCCAGTAAGTCATTAAAACCAAGAAACAAAATCCCCCAATTGTAAAAATCTCTCAATCTGTTGAATGCCAAACATTAGAATCATCAAAGGCCTTTCTTTTCTTTTTCTCTCTTCACCTACTGCATACACAGGGTCTCACCCTAGACTCAGGGCTGCCTCCCTGCACAGCCCTGGATGGGACAGGCCTTCCCAGGAGTGAGACTTAAGTTAGAAAAATTAGTGTCCCTGGGGGAAGGCCAAACATTCCCATTTTATAAAAGCTCTCAGGTGCAGCCAGAGTTGGATCCAACTTGCTGTCTATAGGAAATGACAAGTCAGGAACCAGAGTCAGTTTGAACCAGAACTAGAGATAGGGCCCATCTTTCCAGGACCTGAGCCATGAGCTTCACTGCCACCACAGACTTGCACCTGCAGCAGAGGAGCATGATAGGAGAAGCACAGGCAGCTTGGGGACCAGAGAGGAAGCCTTAGCCAGGAAGTAGGGGGTAAGCTCTACTTCTGTTGCTCACCAGGCAACCTTAGTTCATCATTTAACCTAGACGAGGTCCATCCACTTCCTGTCAGGGACTTTGTATGGTCCAGACAACAACCTTAACAGAAGCGGAAGATACTAGGTTACTTGTTCTCTCCTCCTTGCTCTGTTGTCTCTCTTTCCTTCCTCCCTCTTTAGGACCTCTCTCAGATACAAGACCAATAGAGGGACAGACAAGAATTGGCACTTATTTCAGATGCATCTGGCTATGTGACACTTCCTTCACCAATCCTTAAGCAGGCTCCTCTCAGTTTTCCTAGACATGGAGCAAGTTCTGCCTAGAACCTTCCAATCACACCTCCATCTGGGAGGAAGAGGCACAGGCTCTGGTTCTGTAACCTTGTTGGAATGACAGGTCTGTGACCTAAATCAAAGAACTGTTTCTTCTTAGATTTGTTGCCAGTGCCCATAAAAGCAGAGACTTGGAGTACACCAATGTCTGAAGAATATGCCAAATTCTTTTTTAACCCATGGGGGTTAGAAAGGGCAGAAAACAAGTGAAATTGTTTTATTGTGTTGGGGCAGCCATTCATACATTGACCCACATAGCAGGGACTCTTTCCTCAGGGAATACTAAGGGATAGGACCATTGACAGGGGCAAGAGTTTTCTGCAGCTCAAGGGGATACTTTAAAACTTTTTAATTGGGGCCAGCAGGTGGCATGGTTAAAGTGTTAGGCTCCCATGTGGGCATCCACAGTTCAAGTCCTGTACCTGCCAGCTTGCTTTCTTACTTTCCTTCTCTCTCTGTCTCTCTTGGGTAAGCATATGTGCCCTGTAGCAGACTAAAAAATTAATAATTATTATAAATTCATTAATAATTTTTAAATATATTTTATTAAATTGTATTTATAATTATTTTTTAATCTAACCAAAGAGAGACATGAAGGGAGGTGGGGGGTGGGGGGAGTGAGAAAGCAAGCAGCCAGGTCCAGGACTCAAACTGTGGCTGGCCATGTGGGAGTCCAGTGCTTCAACCACCACGCAACATTCTGGCCCATTAAAAAAAAATTTTTAAATGTTTAATTAATGTGGGAACAGCAGTTAGTGTAATGGCTATGTCACTGGACAAGAGATTGCGGTGCAGCCATCCCCGCTGGGGGGTAATTTCTCACTTTCTGTCTCTCTGTCTCTTTCAGTCTTTCTGGCGAGTGCACACGCCCTATGGCAAAAAGCTCTCCAAAAAGTAAATAAATAAAATATTTAATTAATGTTATCACATGAGCCTGGGATGGAGGGTAAGCATTCAGCAAACCTGAAATAAAAATGGCTCCAGTTCTTATGCTAAATAGTAACTAATCCTTTAGTACCAATAAGGTCTGCCTTTAAACAGCCCCTACAGCACTAGGAATTGTCATCTTCTTTAAAATCATTTAGAGTCCCACATCCTTTTTCTCCCAAAGGAATCCTTTCATTGATTGCATAGTGATTACTACGGGGAAAAATCAACTCCAATTCAAAGGAAGATAGGAGATCTCTTTTAGATTTAAAATGTTACTACAACCTGAAGTTTTTGAAGGGTCCAATTCATCTTTTCCCTTTTATAATAATGGGGAAAAAAAAACAGCATTTTTTTTTGACAAATGATAAATGAAGATGCAGAAAATTAAGTATATTTAAGGAATATATAATGAGACAGTAAGGATGGGTCATAAAAATCGATTTTACAGTTATATCTTAAGTTAGTATCTTAAGCCAAAAGTGATTTATTGATTCCCCCCTCATTTGAAAAATGTTACATCTTTAAAAAGGACACAACTAATATTCCAGGAATTGTTACTTTCTGTTTGCTTTACAGAGCTGGAGCATTCCTTGGGGAAGGTCTGCAGTTGTTAGAGGCATGATAATGAGCTCCTTCCCTGAGCTAGCCAGGATGTATAAGGCGGAAGGTCACAGACCCATCTGCAGTAAAGGAGGAACAACTGCTTAGATTCAGTGGCAATGGGTTCAGTGAAAATGGTTTGATGGACCTGGGAGCCAGAAAAGGACTCAGTGAGAACAAAAGGACCCTGCAGGAGAGCCCAGGGAGGGGCTGCAGCCAGATGTCCACCCTCTATAGCCACTTCTCAGAGTCTCAGGGCCTGCAAGTTTCCCCTCCCATGACCCTGGTGATGGTGACAATATCTGGGATGCAGGGTGGCCCTAGAGAGAGCCTCCCCATCCCCATCACTCCAGGCAGAAGTAGGTGCTCGTCGGAAGCAACAGTGGGCCCTTTCTGTGGCTGATATGCAGAAAGAGGCCTTGGCCATGTCTGCTGAGAAGACTGAAGGGCCCTGGGAGAGTGGATTCTCTGAACGTGGTCCCCTACAAGGGTACACCCACCCTTCAACCTGCGATATGGCTCTTTGTGGTGCCATTCTTACCCAGCACCCTACTCCTTTCTTCCCCCTGCTTGCGTTGTCTTCAGGCTAGTCAGTCCATTCATTAATGATAAGCAGCTGTCAAACACAGACTTAAGTTACCCTCTGCCATAACCACTTAATTCAATTTTCAAGGCAGTCCTTGCCCTTTCTTCTTTTATCATTGTTGCAAAGAGTCAGGCTTTGAAGAGAGTGTGGCCAGGTGGTATCACAACAAGGCCACTGTGGGGCCAGCCAGAGGGGCACAGTCTCCAGATGACACTTTCAGGTGATAGCCACATGAGAACCTCAGGCAGTGGCGGAGGCCTGTGTGGGGAGAAGGAAGGCAGAGGCAGGGGACTCAGGGAAGCACATGTGCACCTCGTGCCTTGGACCCCACGGTCACAGCCCCAAGGGAGTCCCTGGGATCCACCTAGCAGAGCTGAAGAAGCCCTGGATGGCTACGGAGGCCTCCAAGTAACCGTGTGGTTGGTGGGCACTTCAGGCCAGAGCTCTAGATGGGACTTGAAACTCCCTTATGCCTAGAACAGTGCCTATCACCAACATCTAGCATGGAATAAATGAAACTCGGGTTTCATGTCCCAGCAGACAGGGCCCTCAGCTTCCCTGGGCATGAGGAGCCCCAGCCAAATCCAAGGTGAGGGAAGGGGGCTGACAGGTAGAGTCTCGGTGGGAGCCAGATCTGGGAATTGCCTACTGCTTTGTGACTTTGGGAAGATTTCTTAGCTTTTCTGGGTCTCAGTTTCCTTATTTAGA